GAAAGAGGGCAGCCTAACTTAGGCCAGTCCAGCCCTAGGGTTTCTCGGCCAAGAATACATGGACTGAAATGGGAAATTAAAACACTGTATAAAGAAACAAAACCACCCAAGAGGGAAGAAGCCTTGCCCAGATCGGCTCTGTCCTGTGCCCCCTTGCCACATGCTTTATGCTCATGGAAGAGGCCTATTTTTAGAGCAGCCCACCCAGTCTTCAAGTGCACGTTAGTCACTTCAAGTGCAAAGCACTCTGGTACAAAGGCTTCTCCCCAATTACTGGTATCTGGTTATGGACATACTACAGCTAGGGGATACCCATGCTGGCATCTGGTTCAAGAAGAACAGCAGGGCTATTCCTGTAAGTGGGTCACCCTGGATACTCCCAGCATTAGTCACAGCTGGTCTGTGACTAACTTGCACTCTGGAGGAGTTGGCCCCTAGTGCTGGATGTTCCTATTGGCTCTTGTCTTTTTATTTTTGGGCAAATATCTATTGTTTTACCCACTCCCTGCCCTCCCCCAGCCCACAGCTCTACCAGCTCAGTGGATTTGGGAAGTTAAAATGCTTATTGCTGGCCACTGTTGGCAAAAGAGGCTTATGCCCGCTAGCAAGGAATCCAAACTAATCTGAATGTAAGGGGTGGAGGGGAAGAGCCGTTTCCAGCTCACAGCATAAAGAAGAGGAGTGAGGAAGATGCTGTAATGAGGGAGCGGACTTTTAATTGCATCTCCCCTTTGCGAGCTAGCAAAGCTATTCTGATACTTGCACATGTACACCCAGCTGTGGCACCTCAGACAGGATCCTGTGACCCCTCCCAGCCACGGCTCTTTGGGAACCTATTGAGCCAGGACTTGCCTGCAACTTTAATGGTAAGGTTACTCCCAGGCATCAGACTTGCATCTGTACATCTCAGATCTTGGAGAGGTGTTTGTACATCAACGATGCTAGACTCTCTCAAGACAAAGTTAATCAGTAGCTATTATTTGGAGGCATCGGATAACCAAACAAAAGCTTGCCAAGAGACTGAATGATCCCTGCCAACCAATGGGTGGTGCACCCAGCATGTTGCATCATTCACAGCAGTGTTGTGTGACAGAAAGGGGGGGGGGGCACGGCACAGGAAGAGAGAGGCATAAACCCCTCTCCCTGTCCCTGGTTGGAATCTGTCTATAAGAGTAAGGCTGGTTTCAGTTTACACCAAGGCTGTCAGCCCTAGCATAAAATGGACCCATCTAGGGGATCTCAGTGCTGGGAGGCCAGCTACTGAGCGCATCTACACATAATGTTTTAATATGCATTAGCCTAAATTAATGTGCATTAACTGTGTGCATCTACATGTGCACGCCCTTATTGCGCATTAGAAATGACAAATTTAGGCTATTTGTGCCTAAATGCAGGTATCAAATTTAGGCACGAATAGTTAAAGCACATTAACGCATGTGTAGACACGTTAAAGTGCACTAACATTGTCTGTGGACTGACTTGGGACTAACTTTAGTCCCAAATCAGTCCACACACAATGTTAATGCAACTTTAACGCCTACACATGAAGACGCCTGCCTAAACCTGCTTAATCTGCATTAAGCTAATGACTATTAGAATTTAGGCACACTTAAATACATGTGTAGACTCGCTCACACACCTACTACAGCATCAGGAGGGCTCTGGGAACTGTGAGCAATGACTCTCATCACCAGCACTGTGTTATGCACATCCCACTGCCCATCTCCCAGCAAGAGGAGGAAGAGGAACATGGCCATTCTGCAGAAAAGCTGTGCTCCTCCCGCCTTGGTTTAACCAGGTATAAAGTCCCAAAAGCATGTCACAGGCATGGCTCAGGGTTTCCATCAAGCTTAGCTTGAATTGCAGATCTGTTACAGGTCAGCTGAGGGTGTTGGATTGCAGAGTATGATTGCCTAGCATTTACAAATGGAAGGAGCCCAAACAATAAAAACCCCGTAGGCCCACTGGCTGCAAGGGGGGGGTGGAATCATATGGGGAGAACAGATGTCTTGAAGGGCTCCCCATTAAATTTTAAATGGAAAGATAACCCTTCTAAGCTCAGTAACTGCTCTACAGTTGGGCTGAGATGTATATACACTCGCACCAAATCTAAGTGGATGCTTGAATGTTTAAATAGCATCAGTATCTACAGAGAAGCCATTGCCACAACACCTAAGCAGCTACCATGGGAAATTAGTTACTAAGACAGGGCAGGGCACTAACCTGACCAAGTGCTCCCTTTGCAGGGGACTGTCAGCCCTGCCAACAGCCACTGTAAAAAGACCTTTGCCAAGAGCCCTGCTAGCAGACAGGAGACACTCATGGCCTAATCCTGCATACCAGCCACCTCAACTCATGTTGGCACCCAGTCTCTCTTTGGAGCACTCTGCCTTACAAGATCTGGCCCTAAGAATCCCAAGTTGATGGAAATCCATCTACTAATTTCAATAGGCTTTGGCTCCGGCACTTGATCAGCAAGCAAACCACACCTTCTCTTGAGCTGTTAGGGACGGCAGTCTTAGTGGAAAAGGTGAACAGCTGACATAACAGCAAGAAGGGACTAATTTTATTGGTGTTATTAGTACTGTTAAGATAGCAAACCTCTGGAAAGTCAGCAGTCCAGAGAACCTAAAAACGTTGGACATGTTCAAGTGCAAGTTAGATAGACATTTGACTGGGATAGTCCCATCCTGAGCACGGGGCTGGACTAGATTCATAGACATTAGGGCCGTAAGGGACCTCGGAAGATCACTGAGTCCAGCCCCCTGCCCCAGGGGCAGGAAGTCAGCTGGGGTCAAAGGATCCCAGCAAGATAAACGTCCAAATGTCTCTTGAAGGAGTCCAGGATAGGGGGTTGTACCACCTCTGGAGGCAGTCTGTTCCAGGCCTTGGGGGCTTGGACAGTA